TGCTGCGGACGTAGCGAGCAGCCGGGCCGGGAGCGATCGCAGCCGCGACTCTGGCGCGGGCTGGACGGAGGAGCTGCCGGTGCTGGTGGAGGCGGCCCTGGAGCCGGCCCGAGGAAGCTGCCCCCGCGCTCGTTCCTGCACCTCCTGCTCGGGCGTCCGGGGTTCGGTCGGGGGAGAGGCAGGCGTTGGAGAGCCCGGAGCGCAGCGTGCTGCTGTAAGTCGGGTCTGGAAGGTGGAGGAGGACTGGTGCTGACAGGGGGAGGGGAGGCACTCAGGGCTCAGGGCAGGCGGGAGCTGCCGGACTACGTGGCAGTGTAACTCGGGAAGCCGAGAGGACCCTTGTAGACGCTGCGTTTTATCCCAAGAGTAACAGCAAGCCGGGTGGCTTGTGAAATGTGTGTGAAGAGAGCTGGTTCAGCTGACGGTGAGCGGCCGGCAGGTGGCCCTGAGGAAAAGAGAGGATGGACTGGTGTGGAGGGTCGTGGGGCGGTCAGGCCCTGGTGGGGAGGAGGAAGGTATCTGGACGGATGACTGTGTGCTTGTGGTATGAGGAACTGGGAGGCTGGAAATGCCATTTGCCAAACTGGACAACCAGGGAGGAGCAAGTTGAGGTTTGAGACACCCATGGGACATGCCTGCGAGCTCTAGAGCTGGGCTGAGATTCGCATTCTGGAGCCATGGGTGTCTGGGTGGCGTGTCTCACTCTCTACCTAGGTTTTGTCCAGATGCTCAGATACTGGAGGGAGGTATGGACTCAGGAAGAGTACTAGAGCCTTTGCTGGGCAACACCTCCAGCAAAGGCTCTAGTACTCTGGGTGGGTCTGGGGCCCAGCCTAGGAGCAGCTGGTGTGCCTGGCAAGGGCTAGGGATGCTGGGAGATATTCTGGGGTGCTGCGAGTCTTCCTGTACTCAAAACCTGTGCTTCTTTCCAGATCCTCTCCACCATGGCCAGACGCCCCAGGAGCAGCAGGGCATGGCATTTTGTCCTGAGTGCTGCCCGCCGAGATGTGGATGCCCGGGCTGTGGCTCTGGCAGGCACCACTAACTGGGGCTACGACTCTGATGGGCAGGTAGGTCCTAGCGGTTGAGGCAGGCACACCTGGGCTAAGGGGTGGAGCTGCCTTGGCAGGCACAACCTGAACAGGGAGTTCGGGGAAGGATGTTCCTGAGGCCAGAGGACTGGCCCACCCTGAGCCCATTTCCGGGGTGCCATGCTGTGTAAAGCACACACAGCCTCAGGGGTGACCAGACCTCAGAGCAGACATCATGTTCTTCTCTGCTTTCTCTCCTGAGAAGTGCAGTGCGTGGAGATGTTGGCAGTCGGATTTTGGTCAGTTCATCTAACAGGGATTCTCCATTCTACCTCGTTTCTGGGGGTAGCTGCTAACTTGGCATGTGTCTGTCAAGACGTTTCTTCTGCCTATGGTGATACGTACTCTGTATCCTCTTATGTGCATGTAATAAAAAAGAAACTTGGATTCTTGGAGAAAAGAATTCCTGTGCCTTCCTCTACTCAGGGAGGCTCAGGAACTACAGGTGGTCAGGATAGAGGCTCACGTGTTTGTCTCTGTTCCAGGTTATTCAATGTGCCTGTGGGCTTTGTAGCCAGAGCCTGGCTGCACCTGGCAGGCCCGTACTGCTCCCTGCCACGGCTGGGCCTTAGTGCCTGATGGGGTGCAGTGAGGGAGGGGCTGGTTTCCTGAGGTCACCCTTAGACCAAGTCACCGAGGGCTGTTTCCTCCCAGGGTTGTCACTTGGGTGACATGACACTGCCCTTTTCTGTCACAGCTGCCAGCATTGTTCTGGCTCAGCCAGGTGTTCTGGGAGGGGCTGGGCTCCTTTCCTTCAGAGGGCTTCTTCCTGAGCCCTGTGGGACCACCAGGCCTTGGGGCCAACTGGAAGGCATGATCCATGACCGGGATGGCAGCATCCTGGGGCCTCCCAGAACTCCCAGCCCGGGTGAGACCCAGGTCTGCATTCCTACCCTGCACCCAGCCCCCACTGGTCATGAGGCCTGTCCCCACCTTGCAGGCTCATGGCTGTGGGATGCAGGAGGTGTCTGTGGGCCGGGCAGTATCTGACACACACATACCGCTTGTCCTCTGTTGCCAAATGGGCCTGTAGTACACGTGTGTGGGTGGGCGGTCCAGGCACCCTGGAAGGCTGACTCACACCTCCCTTAAGTTGCACGGGGATCAAGTCTGTCTCCTCCCAGGGAGCTGGGGTGCTAGCCAGCTTGATCCTGGGCCTGCCATGTTTAGCTCTGTGCCATGGCTCCTGACTCAGTGGGCCTGCCTCTGGGGATCCCCTTCTGTGTTTCTGAGCCTGCCCTGTGTGCAGGGCCCTCCCTTACAGAGGATGGCATTCTGTCCTGATATACCCACATTCACCCAGGAGCTGTGTCTTGGTTCCCTGTGGCTTCCCCTGGCAGGGAGAAACTCTCCTCTGGGTGGCATCACCACCTGTGGCCTTCCTGTCCCGAGGGCAGCACATGCTGCCAGCTCTGAGGGTGCCGCCTATCGCCCTGTGGGTGCCTGACACAGGTGACCTCGCTCACGTGGCCTTCCGCTAACTTGCTCACTTTGCTCAGCTGCCATGGGTCCCCATGGAGACTTGGGTGTAGCAGGAAGGAGACTGGAAGGAGCAGGTGCCTCCCTTTGAGCTTCTGTCCCAGTGGGAGAAGGTAGGGAAGCAGGACAAGGGGCATTTCAGAGAAGGATGTTGGGAAAAGCAGAACAGGCGAAGGTGCCTGGGAAGGCCTGAGACCCCACCCCCAGGCTCAGGAGAGGGGGCAGGAGGCACAGTTCATGGTGGGCTGGAGTGACAGGGCAGCAGAGAGGATGGGAAGAGAGCAGAGGAAGGCCACCTGGGCTGCAGAGTGCATGCTGGGTGCATGCCAGAGACCAGGTGAGGGGTAGAGGCCTTGCCTGGGGCTCTGTGGGCCTGGCAAAGGCAAGCAAGGCTGGCAACACCTCGGGCCCTGCACAGGTGGGCCTGGGGTCCAGAGCCAAGGCAGTGTCCCACAAGCCTGCCTAGCTTCAGAGTGGGCCTGACTTGGATCACAGACCACCCCAGCCGACCTCCCAGAAAGTCCTGAACAGCTCAGCCTGGTATCTGGCCACTGGGCCCCAGGGCTTGGCACCTGCCACAAGGGCTGAGCCCCTAACCTGTGGCGGTCTCAGCTTCCTGCTCCCACAGAAGCTTGAAACAGCAGCCTGAGCACCAGACTGTGCTAGGGATCGAGTCAGCCGTGGACCCATGTGTGGAACCCCAGCCCAAGCCAGGTTGCTGTCTGGGGAGTCCCTCCACTCCCACATTAGGGCAGCAGCTGGCAAGGCCTGTGGCTTGTCCGCCATCCAGAGGTTGCCTGGAGAGGGCTGGGCCACCTTCGGCTCATTAGTGGCTGGGTCTCTGGGGCCCCCTTGGTTGAGCAGAAAGGGTGGTGTCTTTGAGCCACTCCTGCAAGCAGTGGCAGGGCAGGCCTTTGGGAAGGAAGGAGGCTGCTTCTTGAACCAGGCGTCCAGGGTCACTGCGGGTGGCGTTGAGGTGGGCCATGCTGTGTGCTTGGGAGTCACCCCCCAATCCCTTCTGCAGTGGGTCAGAGCCGTTTGGCCTTGGGGGTGTCAGGAGGATGAGGCTTGGGCTGGGCTGGCGGAGGGCAGAATGCTGACGACAGGCGGGAACAGTCTGCCCTTCTCCCCTAGCACAGTGACTCGGATTCTGACCCTGATTACTCGTCTCTTCCGCCGTCCATCCCCAGTGCGGTGCCTGTGACTGGGGAGTCCTTCTGTGACTGTGCCGGCCAGAGCGAGGCCTTCTGTGGCAGCCTGCACACGGCACACCGTGGCAGGGACTGCCGCTGCGGGGAGGAGGACGAACGTGAGTGCAGCAGGGCCACAGGGCTGTGGGTGGGGGGCGAACCCCAGGGCCAGCCAGCATGGGCCTCTCCTCTCCCTCTCACAGATTTCGACTGGGTCTGGGATGATCTGAACAAGTCCTCGGCCACCCTGCTGAGCTGTGACAACCGCAAGGTCAGCTTTCACATGGAGTACAGCTGTGGCACTGCAGCCATCCGGGGCACCAAGGAGCTAGGGGAGGGCCAGCACTTCTGGGAGATCAAGATGACCTCGCCTGTCTATGGCACTGACATGGTAAGCGGTGCTGGCCCGGGAATGCCTCTGGGGGGCCCGGCCTGGGGTCCAGTCCCAGCGCCCTCTGCCCAGCCTACTGTTCACAGATGGTGGGCATCGGGACATCAGATGTGGACCTGGACAAGTACCACCATACGTTCTGCAGCCTGCTGGGGAGGGACGAGGACAGCTGGGGTCTCTCCTACACGGGTGCGTGTGGCCTGGGGGTGGGGTGGGGCCAGGGCTGTGGCTCCTGGGCTCACCCCCGTCCCGACTGCCCCCAGGGCTCCTCCATCACAAGGGCGACAAGATGAGCTTCTCCTCGCGCTTTGGCCAGGGCTCCATCATTGGTGTGCATCTGGACACCTGGCATGGGACACTCACCTTCTTCAAGAACAGGAAGTGCATAGGTGAGGCCCTGCTCAGGTCAGCAGGCCACCCAGCTCCCAGGGCTCCCTGAAAGTCTTCTTCCCTGAAGCCTGAGGTCCCAGGGCCCCCAGAGGTGGGGCAGTGTCAGGCTGGGTGGAGTTGCTGGACAGCGTGGATGCCTGGTCCTCAGCTACTCACCTCGTGACCTTAGCACAATGTCCGAGGGAGCAGGCAGTGAGTCCCTTCCCTGCCTGTCCCTCAGCCCGGGGTTTAGGCTGTGTCCCATCTTTCCAGGAGTGGCAGCCACCAAGCTGCAGAACAAGAAGTTCTACCCGATGGTGTGTTCCACGGCAGCCAAGAGTAGCATGAAGGTGATCCGCTCGTGTGCCAGTATCACCTCCCTGCAGTACCTGTGCTGCTACCGCCTGCGTCAGCTGCGGCCAGACTCGGGGGACATGCTGGAGGACCTGCCCCTGCCGCCCGGCCTCAAGCAGGTGCTGCGCAACAAGCTGGGCTGGGTGCTGAGCATGAACTGCAGCCACCACAAGACTCTGGCAGCCTCGCCCAAGGTGGCCTCAGCCAGTCCCAGCAGCCCTGAGCCCCAGCCCTGCCAGAGGAAGCGCTGCCGACGGACCTAACTCCCATGGGAACTGCCTTCTGGGGTGGGACGGCCATTATCTGTGTCCCTTCTTTCCAGCCACACTCCAGGCAGCTGCAGAGGGAGGAGCTGGGTGAGCTCTGTCCAGGGCCATCTCCTGTGGCCAGGACAGTCTCTGCAGGGGCTCCAAGCCACTCTGCGGCCTGTGCAGATGAGAAGTGACAGCCCGGACCCTGCTCTCCAGAGAGGCTGCTGCCTGCCACACCGAGAGCCTCACTGGAGCCCAGCTGCCCATTCCTGCCAGCCTTGGTCTTTTCCTCACTTGCTTTGCATGTTGTCAGCTGCTGCTCCTGTCACAGAGACTTGAATGATTGTAATAAACAGAGTTTATGTCTAACACCCACACAGCTGTAAGACCAAGTGAGCCATGCAAGGCTGGGTTCTCTTGTTGGGTCTGGCAGCCTCTACAAAGCTGTGGGGAAGGCAGACCCGGTTCTCCCGTCTCCCTAGAGGCCTCCCTTACCGCTTCTGAGGGTGCCATGCCCAAGCCTCCAAGCGGCCGCTGCCACAGCCCCTCCCAGCTGGGCAAGCAGCCCAGCTGCCAGGCTCCTGGCTGGCCCGTGTGTCTAGCTCAGGGCATATGAACCTCCAACCACTCCAGGCACATCACTGCTTGCCACCTACAGGCCCGAGCAGAATTTCTGAGGCTTCCCAACCCCCACATCCCCTTTGGCTCAGACCCGAGCCAGAGAGAGCCTGAGAGCCCCCCCTGGGCTGTGGGTCCTGCCCCTGCTGCTCAGGACATCTGGTCGTTCCTGAGGCTGTGTGCTGTCCTTCTGGCCCCACAGCCATGGTCAGGAGCTCAGGTCCAGCAGCAGGTCGGGGTTGGTGGTGGCCAAGAAGAGGCAGATACGGCGGGAAAGGTCAGGCCCCACCCTGCGGGGCCGCCTGCCCTCGCCGGCCTTCACAGGGAGGTCAGCCAGGAGGCCCAGGCGCTCTTGCTCAGTGCTGCAGGCCGTGAGTGCCTAGGGGAGGCACAGGGATGAGCAGGGAGGGCTGGGGGGCCTGGCCTCCATGCCGGGGGGTGCACATGCGGAGCGGCCCACCTGCTGCAGAAGGCGAGGCGAGGGGAAGGCCGTGACGATGGCATCGGCCATGGCGGGGCTGACCCGATTGAACTGCTGGATCTGCCTCCACCAGGCCTCCCGCAGCCCCAGGCCGTCTCTTGCTGCTGGCTTGCCTGAGGCCCAACGCCCCTTTGTGCAGAAGGAGAAGGCCTGGGACTCCCGGTGCTGCCTGAGAACAGGGAGGGGCAGAGAGGACTTTCAGAGGCTTCACCTTTCCTGGATACTCCCCAGCAAACTCCAGAAAGCTCTCCAGCCCTGCTCTGTTCTCAGAGAGGTGGGGAGGCACCCTCCCCAGGTGGTCCTGCCCCCTCCCCACACAGCATCGGCCCAGGTGGGGAGTACACACTTGAAGGGGCGCTGGGCCAGCGCTCTGGTGACACTGCACACATGCTGACTCAGCTCCTGCCAGGAGGCTACCAGCAGCACGTCCACATCCGCCCAGAGCTGTAGGAGCACCAGGGCCTGGGGAGGAGACGAGCCACGGGTGTGGCTGGACAGGGGCTTCCCAGGGGTGCTCAGCAAAGATCAGCCCCACATGCCACCCTGAGAACCACTCCCAGTGGAGGGCAGCCCCAGTGCCAGGATCCAGGCCGACTCGCCCAGTTTAGATCCACCCTTACCTCCTCCACCTCTGGCCAGCCGACAGTCACCTTGGCACCAGCTACCTCTGGACTCCCCGGCTGCTGTGTTCCCTGGGTGGTGGGCTGGCGAGACCTGTGCAGAGGAGACTATCCCTCCAGCTCCCCACTCCCCATTGGTCCTACTCTCCCTGACTTAAGCCCCTGCCAGAGCCCACAGAGGGGAGCAGGATCGGCTGTGCCACAGCAGCCCCCAGAGGGACCCCACCTTCCCTAAACCCCATTCCAGCCAGCCCTACTGAAGGCATTAGGGTGAGCGGTACCATAGGTAGGTGTCAAGTCCAATGATGGCCAAGTGGAGTCGGGCAGAGATCTGCGGAGAAATCCAGGGCACTGAGCAGGCTGGGTCAGAGACCTGAAGGCAAAATGTGCGGCATACTTGTTTATGGGAGGGCTGTGATAGCAGGGCCACACGCTGCCAGGCCACAGCCAGTGCAGAAGAGCAGCAAGCCAAAGAGAGCTGGAAGGTCGAGCCCGGCAGGCGCTTCCTCCACTCTACCACCTCTCCTGAAAAACCGCCTCTGGGCCTCCCACAAGGCTGAGGAGGCTGAGAAGAGCTAGCATTTCCCTGGCACACAGTAGGTACCTGGGAAATGTGGCTCCTTGGACACCAGGACCTGGCAAAGGGTCTAACCTAGTCACCTTCTGGCCTGGCGCAAACATCACCTGATTGTTCTGTTTTACCTGACCGTTCTGTTTCTCCTGCAGCTGAGACTGCTTGAGCAGTTAGGAAGGCCTGGGCTGTCAGCTGTCACAGAAGGGGACACAGCTCCTCCAGCTCTGCCAGCTGCTCCCAACCCAAGTTCCAGCCTACTGCCCGACCCTGTCTCCTGGCTCTCTCTAGGAGCCCCTAAAAGCAGCTGCAGTGCCTGTGTGTGGTCAAGGTTTTCTCCACCTCACTCTTGGCATCTCTGTAGTTTCTCAGCAGAGAGGAGTCCCAGCCCATCCCATCACCCTCCAGCCCTCTATCCTGGTGCAGGGACTGGGCTGAGCAGGTGCCCCCCTGCTGGGGAGTCCAGCCCCTCATGATTTGTGGAGAGGGATTGTTGCCCCACCCGAGCACCTGGGCCAGCTTGGCGACACCCTGCAAAAACTCTTCAGGCTCCAGAAGCAGAAGCAGTTCCTGTTCATCTGCAGCCCAAAGCTCCGGGGGTACCTGCAGGGACAACAGGATGAGCTGCTGCCCACCTCTGCCTGGGCAGCCCAGCAGCTCTGTGGCTTTGGCCACAGCCAAGCTCAGGCCCTGCCAGGATTGCTCTATAGAACCCGGTGCTGGCTCTCCTGCCAAGGCCAAGACCAGCCCGGATCTGCGAAGTTGGCAAGAACACTGACCACAGCCTCTTCGGAGCCTGAACGGTCTTCAGCATAGCTGCATTCAGGCTCTGGTACCCAGTTCTGCTCCTCACCAGCACCGTTCGTTTCGTGTTGATGAGCACGACTGCAGCAGCTACCCTCGCGACGGTGACAGTTCACGAATGAAACCAGGTACTTAAAACACCCAGCCTAGGGCTGGCACTTGGGAACCACGGCCACGCGCTCCTCCTGCTACAGTAACAGAACACTCACGCTGCGGGGGCAGGGGTCGAGCCTCACGCCGCTCCACTGGATGCTGCAGGCCGGGCACTGGGGCTCGATGTGACACTCACAGCCCAGGGCCTCCAGGGCCTCCAGCAGGATGTCGGCACCAGCGTCTTCCAGGATGGCTGGGAACACGGAGGGAGGCGGAGCTGTCACTCCTTTCTTCCACCCACACCAGGACCCTACTTGGGCGGGACTCGAGAAGGTAGAACGCTGGAGCCGAGCTCGGGGATCTGCACGTATCGGCTCCCAGCTGGGAAGCAGGCACAGCCGGAAGGCGGCCCCAGGTTCTGGGCAGGAGGCTGCCGGTAGGGACACCCCTCTCACCGCCCCCAACCCGCCCATCGCACCGAGGACACCCTGCTTGGTGACGGAGGGAATTTCCAACGCCCGAGCTCCGAGTAGAAGCGAGACTCTGTGGAGCCCCCGTGGGAACCCCGCAGGCCTCCCGCTGGATGTCCGCACCTGGGTCCACGCGCACCGCGAGGCGCCTCAGGGCTTGCTCTGGCCGCAGCGGCCGCAACGGCTCGGCCGCCACCCTGCGCTCCTCCGCCGGGTCCCGGGCTCTCGTGGACGCCTCCGCGCCGGCGGGGCCCTCGGCGTCCGAATCCGAGATCTCCCAGGTTGGGGGCCGCCGCCGGCCGCTCCAGCTCCGGCGCGAGGCCCCGGCCCTCCCGGGTCCCACCCGCGCCATGGCCCGCCCGGCTTCTCCTTCGTTTCCGGCCGAGCCGGAATGCCTTAGCAGGGAACACCAGCCGCTTCCTGCTGGGGGCGGGCCTCGGGGCGCGCGGCGGCGGCGACTTCCGGTCATAGAGCCGAGGGAGCCGACCGGCCATGGCGCGGAAGAAGGCGCGGCTGCGGCTGATCGCCGAGTTCGCCCGCCGCGTGCGCGCCCTGCGGGAGCAGCGGGAGCGACCGCGCGACTCGCAGCTCTACGCTCTGGACTACGAGACGCTGACGCGGCCGTACTCGGGCCACCGGCTGCCCGTGCGCGCCTGGGCCGACGCGCGCCGTGAAAGCCGCCTTCTGCAGCTGCTCAGCCGCCTCCCACTTTTCGGTCTGGGCCGCCTGGTCACGCGCAAATCCTGGTTGTGGCAGCACGACGAGCCGTGCTACTGGCGCCTCACGCGGGTCCGGCCAGACTACACGGCGCAGGTACGTGTGAGCCCGCCCAGGCCCCGGGTCCCCCCGCCCTAGACCCTGGAGCATGCGGCCAGTCCTTACCCCACCGTCGTACCTGGCCCCCTGCGGGCCACTCTCCCGAGCGAGGTTGTGGGGCGGCACGGCGTCCCCTGCTCCGTGCATTTTTGTGGGACTGGAGGTCCGGCCCCCTGATCTCCGGGGGCGAGGACCTTTCTGAGTTGACTCGCTTCCCTTTGGCCTTGCAGAACTTGGACCACGGGAAGGCCTGGGGCATCTTGACCTTCAAAGGTAAGGCTTGGGAGACTGGGCGCCCGAGCGGCGGGTTGCAGCCTGCGGACCGTTAGGCGAAGGTGTGTGAAATCCCTCTGTCTCTCCCCAGGGAAGACGGAGAGCGAGGCCCGGGAGATAGAGCACGTCATGCACCACGACTGGAGGCTGGTGCCCAAGCACGAGGAGGAGGCCTTCGCCACCTCCTCGCCGGCGCCACAGGACACCCTGCGCTCTGCGCCCTATCCCCCGCTCCTCCGGGCCATGATTCTTGCAGAGCGGCAGAAGAATGGGGATACCAGCCCCGAGGAGCCCATGCTGAGTCTGGAGAGGACACCCATCCAGCCCTGGGACTACCCGGCCAAACAGGAGATGAAAGGGAGGGCCAAGGGCACCCCAGTCTAAAGTGCCAGAATCTGTAGGTTGCCCAGTGGGTGTAAGCTGGGGGTAGCCATTCTGATTAAAGAAGATGTCTTTGGGTCACACCCGAGTCCGCTCCCGCAGAGCTGGGGCTCACCTTCTGGACTTGTTCCGAGGGTCTGCATCTTGATTGAGAAGGTTGGGGCACACCCTGTACCTGCGCCTTTCCTCTGGCCCTGCTGCCTCAACACCCAGTCCTGAATGAGAGGCCACGCAGGAGAGGCTCTGGGGGAAAGCCGAAAGCGGCGGGGAGCGCTGGCTCCTCTTCCCCCAAGACTGTTGTCTCCACCGGGATCCGGCCAGAAACTGTGGACGGGAATAAAGAGAAAGGAAGCAGTCGGAGTTGTGGTTTCTTTTCATGTGGGGTTGCGGGGGACCAGAGCGGGTCCTCTGCAGGATTGTGGGGAAGGAGAGGCTGACTCGGGCGTGCAGCTGTCCCGGGGGTGCCAAGCAGGCTGCCGGCTGGGTTGGAAGACCTGAGCGAGTTGGAGGAGGCACAGGTAGTGTCCGAGCCACTGGAACTACATGGCTTCCTGATTCTGGGGTCACAAGTGAATAGCTTTGGGCTCCAGAGCCCTGCCGCGCCGCTCCCTGCAGGCTCCCGGTGGCCGCAGAGGCAGCGCCAGCCCGAGGCCCCTTTAAGTGCAGGCCCCGCCCCGGGCGCCTCCGCACCGCCGAGCCCGCGCTGGGGCTTGGTTGCCGCCATCATGATCTGCTTGGTGCTGACCATCTTCGCCACCTTCTTCCAGGCAGGTGAGTGGCGCGGGCCGGGGGGCGGGGAGACGGCCGGGGCTGGGCCGACTTGACGTCCCGGCCCTGCGGGTCCCCGCAGCCTGCACCGGCGTGCACGAGCGGACCTTCCTGGCCGTGAAGCCAGACGGCGTGCAACGGCGGCTGGTGGGCGAGATCGTGCGGCGCTTCGAGAGGAAGGGCTTCAAGCTGGTGGCTCTGAAGCTGGTGCAGGTGA